TGATTATAGCGAACTACTAATAGACACTCTTCTTTTGGCGCATCACGTTGGTTATATTTATAGTTGTGTGGAGGCGTTCTAGAAATTTCAGTCTTACGTAACAATACTAGTTAAATCATTTACTACACACATATATTGTTGATTCTTACTCTCGAGAGTCTCTTACAACTTTGGAGAATAGGCGGGAGTTTCGCAAAACATATTTAACAGTATAAACTATGTATGTTTCCAAATATAAATTTAATCTAAACAAACGTTGATATTAAAATAAATACATAAAAACAAATTTGTTACAATATAAATATTTTGATTATTTGTATTTCAACAAAATATTTATCAAAGGGATTTCTACATTCTCCCGTACATAATTCGCAAATGTCCTTTTCTCTAAAAATGAATGTATGAAAAACTAATATATGCTATGTTGTATTATTATTATTTTTTAGCATTTCTATCATGGTTCTTGTACTTAAGTCAGAATTTGGTTTTACTAGACAAACGCTGGTGAGAAAAACAGCTATCATGGCCTTATTTTTTATGTCCATGGGAAAAGTTATTCAATTTTGCGGAAAAGCTTTTTATACAAATAACTTAATACCTAATACCTAAATATACCTAATAAAACCCTAATGCTGAAACTGTTGTAAGTTTTGTACTCGTGTAATTTTTATTCCATGCAATTAACAAGAATGGGAACAAACTTCTGAAATAATCATATCACGAATGATGAAGATCTTACTAACTGCTTTTAATTATTATTTATACTGGCTTTTATCAGTACATTTGAAACAATTATCTAAAAAATATGACAGGAAATGAACATACCCATTTCATGTATTACCGGTTTTCGTCATTATCGTCGTATTAAAGTTACTTTAAACAATTGTCTCAGCTAATGGTTGAAATTATTTATATCTGTTAGGTTTCTATCGTGGTTGACAGCATAAAATTCATGTAAAATCGTATTAACTTTATTCTTATTTTCAGTTCTGGATATCCTATAAATATTGTCGAAGTTAAAGTTTTAATTGAATAGGTTTTGTTTTGTTTGTTTGTTTTTGAATCTCGCGCAAAGCTACACGAGGACTATATGCGCTAGCCGTCCCTAATTTAGCAGTGTAAGATTAGAGGGAAGGCAGCTAGTCATCACCACCCACCGCCAATCTTGGGCTACTCTTTCACCAACGAACCGTTTTAACCGTCACATTATAACGCCCCCACGGCTAAAAGGGCGAGCATGTTTGGTGTGACGGGGATTCGAACCCGCGACCCTCGGATTGCGAGGCGAGCGCCCTAACCACCTGGCCATGTCGGGCCAATTGAATAGGTACATGCATTTATGTAGAAACTTTGGTTAATATCAAGGTATGCATATATGTTTAATCCAACTGTAAAACTATAGATTTATGTTCTATACGTTCGAAATTCCAGAAAATATAACATTTTAATAATTATAGAAAAGTTTTATCTTTTTATTTTTTCTCAGCATTTATTAATCTTGTTCTATGCAAATTGTATTTGTAAATTACAAATCCACAAGCAGAAACAATGTTACAAAAGTAGAAAGCAATAAATAAATTCAAGTATAACATTAAAGTGTAACTGTGAAATAAATTTATAATATCATATTGATGTAAAAAACCAATAATATGAAATAAAAAACAATTTCCCATTATTGTATAATTGTACATAAAACTACAGAATAATAAGTTTCACATATGAAAAATTTGTTAAGAGAACTACAAGATAATAAACAGCTTTACATATCACATTGACGTATATGTGTTTGTTCACAAATCTAAGAAAATATAAACATTTTGGCATGTCGCATTCTCGTATACTTGTTCACGAAACTTCAGAAATTCATACTACACAAACTGCATCACAACCAAGTTTTACATTTCAGAATTAGTATCATTCTCTTGAAGTAAAAAGTGGGTACAATAGTTTGTTTAGTCATTAGTAAAGTGATACTATTTTTAGCTATATTCTTTCATTTAGAAATGACAAGCATAATAGAACAAATCTTGAAATTATTCTTTAACTAACAGCATCTGCATAGCTGACATAAGAAACGAGATCACTCGCCTAGAAAAGAAATGGGATCACCAGGAGGAGATATTTGATACTTTAACTGACACTTCAATATACAACAAACGCCTTCGACCTGCTAGTGTTAAGGCCGGTGAGTATGATGAGTTGTTTTAAATCAAAGGCTTGTAAAACATAACATGTATAACCCACATACACACGTAATAGTCTGCATAAAGTGATATTTTCATATCCCAGCAAAAGCTATTTTTGGGACCATTTAAAATTATTATTTTTTCTTTATCCCTTTTTAAATGAAAAGTAAGTACCAGCTATGTATAATCATATCACGGAGTCCGTGGCTAGAGTTGTGAGAAGTAGTACTTTGTTATGTAACGATATTTTCGACAGGAAGATTAATCATGACATATCATGTATGTTTAATACAACTTAATGATGAGTTTTACTAAGTACAATAAAACAATGAAAACCCCTTAATCAAAATGCTAGAAAGTGAGTCCTTTGAATACTCGAGCGATGTTTATATGACGTAATGTAGCCTGTTTATCTGTATAATTGTATAAAAATCCAAACGATAAATGGGTTCAGAGGATGAGGACAGTGGGCACTATGATAGACCTCTGGAGTTGGCGAACAAGATTCTAATCCGTATGATACCACAAAATATTCGTCGCATTTTTAAGCTGTCTTAAGAGTGTCAATTCTTCAGAGTGGATGGAAGAGTATTGCTGACTGCATACCCTCCCTTTTGTAAGTATTTCAAAATTAGGGTGGTAGCAGAGAGCCTTAGTACTTTTGCCATAAATACCAAGAGGTAGCAACACATTTTGGTTTTTGACGTCACTAATCTTCAGATTTTCTCTAAGTAAACAATTAATTTTCCCGAAAGGGGACCGAAGGCCGCCTAGAGGGGTCACCTGGTGGGTTGTCAGTCAGTCAGTCAGCAGACACTAAAATGACCTTGCATAAGAGACGATTAACGTTGTAATTTGTACTGTCGTAATGTCAGTAAAACGTGCACATGCAATGAATCACGAGATTAAATATACACTCTGTAGCCTGCATCAGGAAAATTATTTACTTCTAATTACCCACACTAACTCAACTAACCTAATGTAAAAAATAAACTTGTACCAATGTATTGAATTTACAGAAGAAACTTGAATCAGTGTATTGAATCTACAGAAGAGAATGGTACCAGAGTATTTTGTTTATTTGAAGTTAAGCACAAAGCTACACAGTAGGTTATATACGTTTGCCTACCATAAACTTACCACTGACTGACCAGGGATATGCTTTACATATTCAGCTGAATATAACTTCCCCGAAAGGGGACCGAAGGCCGCCTGGAGGAGTGTTGGGTATATACAAGACTATTAAGTTTAAGAGTTATTATTCAGTTTATTTAGTGTTTTAATATTTAGTGATTATTAAGTTTCATAACAAGAATGTTAAAAGCTAATTATTTTAAAAGCGATAGTTATGACAAGTTTTGTTACGTAATTCTGTATGAGTTGTAAGTTGTGTATGTAGTTTATTTGTTGTACTAGACTTTTGTAATATTGTTGACGTCGTCTTACTCGAAGCTTCCGAGTTTTTCTCATTATGTGTAATATTGTTGTTACTAGAGGGCTAGATGTTTCTAACTTTTTCTGGCACGTGCTATAAATAGTGCAGATGCAGAAGTGAAGAGAAGTTAGTTCGTGAAAGTGAACGAAAAAGTGAAGTTAGCCTACGTGAGAGCTTAGCCGTAATGAGCGATTTCTGAAGTCAGTTTCACACTTTGTATTGTAATAACACAGATAGAGAAGAATAATTTGTCCTCTCAAATAGTGTGCTAGTATAATTGAACCCGCCTGTGTGGGCTTTCACGAAAAAAAGACAATTATTTAAAGCTTTGGATACAACTGTGATAACCAATAGTGTAACGGTTATTTTATATACGTTTGACTTGTTTTAAATATAGTATGCTAAGATAAGTGGACTGTGTGCTGTGTCTGTTTAGTATTGAAATTCATCGCCAATAAGTCACAGACGCCTACAGTAAAAAATCCCGGCCCTATAAAAAACTGAAAAGGGATCACCTGTTTTAACTTCTCGCACCATTATACAGTAGTGTATTGTCTGTCACATAAGGGATGATTAATGCTGCAATTTGTACTGTTCTGACATCAGTAAAACGTGCGCATGACATGTGAACTTCAAAAGCAAAAAAAAAAAAATTAAAATAACTGTTACTCTTAACTTTGGTTTTATTTACTCTTGAAAGAGAACACTTTCGGGGATCCTTCGGAAGTACATCTAGTGTACGATATACATGTATATATTCATACATTTTAAAATAATCTTAAAGAATTTGTTTGGAAAGTATTTGTCCGTCCTCTGAAAAATTGCTGTCATATTCTTAATGAGTGTTCTTATTACTTGTTTGTTGTTAAACACAATGCTGCACAATAGACTATCTGTACTCTGCCCATCACGGTATCAAAACCCAATTTTTAACGTTGTTAGCCCACAGAATTGCTTCTGAGGAACCTAGGGGCGGGTGTGATAAATAGTTTCCAATACGTCTTTCGCTCAAAGTAGTTTTTCTGTATTTTATGGAAAATAAATTTCTGGTAAGCTAGTATTTGTTGCAGTATTAAACATTTATTAATTAAGTCATACGGTCTAAGAATGTTTATTTCTAGGTGAACCTGTCATAGTCAACACAAGTTTGTTTCTCATCAGCATGACGTCGTTTGACGAAATTCAAACGGTGAGCTTCACATTTGCAATTTTTAAAAGATTTACAAATCAGTTTTAGTAATGGATTGTTCTTACACAGTGTTTTATATAAAGCTGAACATAATAGAAGATTATGTCCATCCGTTGTAAAACAAAGTACGTACTTTTCTATTTGTCCATGACTTGCTGAATCTATATGATAGCTTAATAATATCTTAATGGAAATTAATGTTTATAAAGCTATGATTAACATTCCATTAGATATTTTAAATTTGAGAACATTAAAATTCAACCTGGATTTAAAAACGAAAGTGGTTTTTTTTTGCTATTCAAAACCATTGTTCATTTTTAACATGCGCACTTCGTATGTTTTTGTTTAACTTCCATTTTCATGACATAACACCAAAAATCGGGTTTAGACACCCGAGATGACCATAGCACAGATAGCTCATTGTGTAGCTTTGCGCTTAATAATAAAATAAGCAAATCTTGTCTAGTTAGAAATTCTTTTTGTCAACGAATATATAAAATGCGATTCGTTTATTTTTCAAGAACTTGAAAAAAAAGTGTGGTGAAGAAAATATGATTTTTAATTTGTAGTTGTTTAAATGGCGTAATTTCTACTTTACACAAAGATGATAAACAACAAATTTTTGGTTTATGCATAGTATTGTTATTATTGCCCCGTGTTTGTATCTTGTTTTACATTTTGTCAAAGTTAATTCATTGAATTCAATAAAAAAAATATAATTTCTATTATTCATTTAATTTTAAATGCTAATTATTTTTTAACTGCTAATGCACGGTGTCTAAATTCCTTGTAATACAAAAGCTTCATTTTGTACATTGAGGAATAGTATTAACCAATATAATGTTAATGATAAATTATAATAAAAAGCAAAGGTTCAGAGACGTGGGATAAGCAATATATTATTGGATCAAACGAAATTTGTCCACCAAATCTACAAAATGCTCGCAAAATGTCACTAACCGCTTACACATATGTCATTTCAAAGTAGATGCTGTTAATATCGGGCAAAATTACTTTTATATGCTCTTTATTAGGCATGTGCGAAATGAAGTAGAAACACCTCATTTAGCTATAAACTTTTAAGATTATGGAAAAAAAAAACATATACTAGGAAAAATCATATTCTGATAGCTATATATATATATATATAAATATGAGTGAAATATATTGGAAAAGAAACACAGAATAAAGCAGAAATTTTACTCACTTCCCTTACGTTTCGACACAAAGCCTTCTCACAAAGAATGATACAAAAAATTCAGACAGCACATTATGTACCCTTTCGTGGATTACTTCATTGGTTGCCGAGGAATGCGTCCCCCTGATTGGTTGATACATACTACAGCTTCTGCTCTTCTTGCTGCACTAATCACCAGTGTCCCCGCGACCTTAGCCAGACTAACAAAGCCTTCTGTGTGGTTAGAGGTGACCTCTGTAGCGATGTATACAGCTTCAATGGTTCGTCTCAATCTCTTATCATAACTCTTATTCAAAGTTTCTACGTCTTGCCACTTTGGCAAGTGTCCATGACTGTCTATGTATAACGCTAACAAATTTGATATACGTGTTTTCTTATGTCATTTTTATGCTCATTAATTCTTACATCTACTCCCCGTGATGTTCCACCATAGTATTGTTACGACAGCGGAAGTCACGTGACTCTGGTAACACGTAATGTGTTCTATAAAGATTAGAGAACATCACGAATAATCCAGTATTTGCTAGACGCCCTCTATTCTTGTATATAAGTGCGCCAGACAATTAATTGATATAGAATTGCAGACAGACAGAGACGGACAATTGTGTCAAGCACGGTAGTCAGTAAGTGCGTGAATCGTTCCCTGGAGAATTATAACGTGTTTTTATAAAATTAGTTAAGTTAAACTGACTGTGGAAATTAAGTCTATTGCAAAGTTGAATTGAGAAAGAATAAATTAGTTTTATTTAAGAAAGGACTTGTATCACTGAAGTTTTTCAGAAGGAATTTTTACAAGAAAATAACAATCGACCAGAGACGTAAC